GCCAAAGAGCCCCCTGGCTGCGGCGGGTGGGGCGGGGGGGCCCACACCCTGCCTGGCACCTGCGCTAATATCGATTGCGGGACAGGGCCGACTGCGGGGGCCGGGGTCACCGAGGCCGGACCAGAGGCCAGCGGGCGCGGGTCTGGGGCCGCGGTGGGTGACGCGTGTGTCCGTGTTTACATTTAGCTGATGTGGAGCCCCACGCCCGGGCCCTGTGCCCCCTCCCCGATGTGTACGTGTGTGAGTGGCAGTGGGGTCCGTGGCCGGCCCCGTCCACGAGCCTGCTGTGTGCACACGGAGCGGGTGCTGGTCCTGGTACCCCGCCCCGCGCGCTCCGCGCAGCTGCCCACAGCCTGTCCCCCGGAAACGAGTAGTGGCCATCCGTCCACCACACTCCCATCCGCACCCCCCGCGGTCATCGCCGCACAGTTTTTTTATTCACAAATTCATGCTCCTCCTTCCAGCCTTCGCCTTGGGATTGGTAACTTATTTGTCTGGCTTCTGTGCATTTTGTCCTCAGGTGGTCTTATGGATGTCTTTCGGAAAATGGTTATTTTATATGATTTGTCATGGAATTTGTTCTAATAAATCATTCTTCTGTCATGTGGCAACATGCTGGCGTTTGTCGCCTTGGCCTCATTTCTCCAGTAGTGGTGTTTGGTGCGGGGAGGGGGCTCCCTGCCACCCCCGGGTGCTCAGCCCAGGGGTCTCCCATCCTGGGCTGGAAAATCCCATTTGACCCCCAAGACCGGCACGGTGCGATGCAGACATGGTGCCACCAGGGGGAGACCTAGGCAAGAAAGCAAAGCAGGGAACTTACCGGAGGTTTGCTCCTCAAAGAGAGAAAAGTTATTTTATTCAAGCCGTTCAGTGATGCCGCGTCCAAGAGCGCCCTATAAAATAGGCCATCCCGGGTACACGTAGCACAGGAGGGGCGCAGGCAGTGTGCTGGGGCCTAGCTGCTCCCAATTCCTTCTCCCTTTTTATGGCTTCAGAGGGGTCTGAGGCCTCACCCGCTCTGGGGTGACGTCACACTACCCCCACCCAGTGCCTCCAGCCCAGGGGCGATATTGTCCCCCACCTCCTGCTACAGGGAGGACCCAGAAGCAAGAGAGACAAGGCAGCAGGAGCAAGCAGCCCACCCCAGAGCCTGCTCACAGGTCACTTGGCCCGCCGTGCACGAGTCACTTGTACCCAGGCAGCTCCCCACACCTGCTCTGTCCCCTCGCCTGCTCTGTACCCGGACCTGCTCTGTCCCCTCGCCTGCCCTGTCCTTGCACACATCGTAAACCCCAGAGTCAGCTGTCAGGTTTTTTTGTTGTTGTTTTTTTTGCGGTACGCGGGCCTCTCACTGCTGTGGCCTCTCCCGTTGTGGAGCACAGGCTCTGGACGTGCAGGCTCAGCGGCCACGGCTCACGGGCCCAGCCGCTCCGCGGCACGTGGGATCCTCCCGGACCGGGACACGAACCCATGTCCCCTGCATCGGCAGGTGGACTCTCAACCACTGGGCCACCAGGGAGGCCCTCGGCTGTCAGTTTTAAAGTCCATTTGCCTTTCCCTGCATGTACCTTTGGTATTCTACTTTCCTGGATTTCCATGTTTCCTTCCTTGATCATTTTCCAAAAGACCTCCACTGAGTTTATTTTTAGTGGAGGTTTGCTGTGATGAGATGAACGCCAAGGATCATACTCAGCTATATTTGGCCCAAGCCTATAGTTTGATGACCTCTGGCCCAGGCCACATGTCCACCCAAGCTGGGAGTGCTACACAAATCTGGGACATCTGTAGGGGCTACACTCTCTGTGTCAGGATAGACAGGCAAAAATCCACCTGCCTTCAAACTTTTTTAAAAAATTTATTTATTTAATTTATTTATTATTTTTGGCTGCGTTGGGTGTTTGTTGCCATGCATGGGCTTTTTCTAGTTGCGGAGAGCGGGGGCTACTCCTCATTGCGGTGCACGGGCTTCTCACTGTGGTGGCTTCTCTTGTGGCAGAGCACGGGCTCTAGGCACGTGGGCTTCAGTACTTGTGGCACGTGGGCTCAGTAGCTGTGGCTCGCGGGCTCTAGAGTGCAGGCTCAGTAGTTGTGGCACATGGGTTTAGTTGCTCCACGGCATGTGGGATCTTCCCAGACCAGGGCTCGAACCTGTGTCCCCTGCATTGGCAGGCGGGTTCTTAACCACTGCGCCACCAGGGAAGCCCCTGCCTTCAAACTTGAAGAAACCTGTCTGTCCTGCCCCAGCTTTGGATTAAGAAAAAAAAAAAAAACCAACAAAAACCCCCCAAAACTCTCTTGTGTAAAGGATGCCGAACAGAAAGCCTTAGGCCCTGCCTGGTATGTGTGGAAGATAGTGGAAACTGGGTTAAACACACATAAGTGAAGGAGAAACACAGCACCCCGTCCTGTAGGTCCCCACAGACTTGCACAGAGGCAAGCTCAGGCGGGTACTGACAGGCCGGACGCGCTAGAAAAAGGCGTCAGGGAGGGTCTTAGCCATACTTTACTATCTGTAAGTTGATGCTTTATCATCCACCTGAGGGCCTGTTAGCCATCGCTAAGCAAATGAAGACTCGCCTGGCCTACCTGGAGTCCTCACACAGCCTCAAACTATACGCCCGTCACACTCACAGCGAACACCAGCTTCTGGGGTGGGGTGCCCTTCAAACATAACTGGCCCATCCTAAGCCTGCCTGCCCTGCCTCACCCCCGCTTCCCGCAGAAACCGCAACGAAGGCACTTCCTCACAGCTCGCCCCCTGCCTTGTGACCAGCCCAGCACTGTGCCCTGTGGGGCAAGCTGTCCTCTCCCCGTGGAGCTGGAGCAGAGGTGCAAACTACCAGGTATAACATGAGTAAGTTACAAAAATGTAATGTACAGCACAGGGAATTATATTCTAATAACTTTATATGGAGTGTAATCTATACAGATATTGAATCACTATGTTGTACACCTAAAATTAATATAACGTTGTAAGGCAACTACACCTCAATGGAAAAAAAACCAGGGAGACAGACCAGATCCCTGAAGATCTCTATGCCCTCAGTGGGAGAGGGGGCAGATGCCATCTGGGAGCTCCCACCGCAGGGCCTCCTGGCTGGGTAACAGACTCGTATTAAGAGTTTCAGGGTCCAGGACTCGATGTCAGCTTGTTCTTTCATTAATCCAACTTGGAACCGTTGCGCCAGCATCTTCCAAACCTATAGAAAGAAAGAAGAGCCGTGAGCGCCACCCATGTGTGTCTCTTCTCAGTTTCCTTTGTGTCATGTGGGCCTGAGGCTCAAATTTATGTATACAGCCCCCGATGGGTGAAGAACCTCCAGGATGAGTGATGTATTCAAAGTGGTTCTAGGTTGGTCGCCATCCTGGGTTCCCACAGAAGCAAATGCAAATCATGTCTGGAGAAAGGCCTCTTCAGCCCAGGACCCTCCACTGCCCCACCGTACGTCTAGCCCAGGACGAATTCCTGGTCAAAGGTCATAAAACACACCATGAGGGACACTAGAATGAAATAACAAATAAAAGTGTATTGGAACTTCCCTGGTGGTCCAGTGGTTAAGACTCCGTGCTTCCGATGCAGGGGGCACGGGTCTGATCCCTGGTAGGGGAACTAAGATCCCACATGCTGTGCAGATTGGCCAAAAAAAACCCAGAAAAAGATTAGAAAAGAGCAAAAGAATATAAACTATAGCCAGAGTTGGAAAAGCATCACACTGAGAAAGATAATGACTCAGAAGAAAGCTTTGTAAAAACCTCAATAAGAGAATTAAATAACAGGTTAGACACAGCTAAAGTAAGAATAAGTCAGTGGGGACTTCCCTGGTGGCGCAGTGGTTAAGAATCCGCCTGCCAGTGCAGGGGACGTGGGTTCAAGTCCTGGTCCAGGAAGATCCCACATGCCACGGAACAGCTAAGCCTGCGCACCACAACTACTGAGCCTGCGCTCTAGAGCCCGCGAGCCACAACTACTGAGCCCACGTGCCACAAC